TACGACAGGGGTATTATTGGCCAACGATGAAGGCAGACGCGACCGAGCTCATCAAAAAATGTGACAAGTGTCAGAAGCACGCCAACATCCACCACTGGCCTGCCGCCGACCTAAAATACCTCACTAGCCCGTGGCCATTTGCACAATGGGGGATCGACTTACTCGGGCCATTCCCACCAGCAACAAGGCAAAGAAGGTTCCTAGTGGTGGTAGTTAACTATTTCATCAAGTGAGTCGAGGCTAAACCCCTCACAACAATCACAACCCGGAATGTGCAGAACTTCTTTTGGAAGAACATAGTGTGTCATTTCGGACTACCTCGGGTACTAATCTCTGACAACGGTAAGCAGTTCAAAGACATCAAATTCTAGAACTGGTGCCAAGACATGGGAATTCAGCAGAACTTCACCTCAGTGGCGCACCCTCAGGCAAACGGTCAGGCGGAAGTCACGAACAGAGCTATCCTCCGCGGAATAAAGGCCCGCCTGGACCGAGCTAATGGGCTATGGGCAGACGAGCTGCCTAGCGTATTATGGGCTTATCGTACCACGGTAAAGACCGCTACAGGAGAGACCCCCTTCAACCTCACCTACGGCACCGAAGCAGTCATTCCAGCCGAGATCGAAGTTCCCTCGCTGAGACTAGAAGCGTATGATGATAAGGCAAATGAAGACGAGCTACGTACCAACCTCGACTTACTTGACGGAGTACGAGACCTCGCATACATCAGGACCGCGGCCTACCAGCAAAGGGTAGCTCGGTACTATAACACCAGGGTCAAGAAGCGGACTCTCCACGTCGGTGACTTGGTTCTCTGTAAGGCTATGGTGCTTGAGCCCGGTGTTGGTAAGCTCGGTCCGAATTGGGAAGGACCCTATCGAGTAAAGCGAGTGCTCGGGGAAGGAACATACGAGCTCAAAACCCTAGAAGGGAAACAAGTACCTCCGGCATGGAATATTGTAAACCTAAGGCAGTATTACCTATAAATAACTAAGTAGACCACGTGTCACTCCCAGAGCCTAAGGGCCAAAATGCCGAGCTAACAAAGACCTCGGCGCAATAAGACCCAGTCGCTTCTATGCTATGGGCGAACTCCAAGAGTAGACCATGAGTCACTTCCAGAGCCTAAGGGCCAAAATGTCGAACTAACAGACTTCGGCGTAATAACCTAGCCGCCTCTATGACACGAGCGAACTCTAAGAGTGGCTGAAGCCACTCCCCCCCCGGCCAAGGGGCTAAAATACCGAAGGAGCTCAGCACCACAGTGCATAATATGTCAAGGATGCAAGCAGATCGGTATGGATTTCGCGACGCTTAGCTCACCTTGGCGTACAACCAGAAGACAGTTCGGGCATATGCCTTACTATGTCAGTCACCTCGGTGTATGTCACAAAAACCACCCCCACGAGGTACTAAGAAACAGCTCGGGGTGGCAACGGTTGAGAATCCTTACTTCGTGCACTTAACTACGATAGCTCGGATAAAACAACTACTTTGGCAAGTAACAACACTTGGAAAAGAAAAAAGCTAATTTCATTAACAAATAGTTCTGTACAATGAGCTTGACAAAAGAGAAAAGGAAAAAGAAACTAAAACTGAGCTCGCAGGCTCGGAGTAGAAAAAACAACTACTTCGGGGGCTCGTCATCTCTGCGCAGGACCTCCTCAGAAGGTTCAGCCAGGTCGGTGATATCTGCCTCTTTGTCACCCTCCTCCTCTTTGGAATCCAGATCCTCTGTAGCTTAACGGGCTATCTCCTCTATGATCCGTGAGGTGGTGATGGCATTTGTGTCAAGCTCGGGGTATGTGTGCCTTATTAACCACCTGCTGAGCTTGAACCCCTTACGATAGGCCTTCCCCAGAACGGCATCGAACTTGTCCAATTGGACATAGTCCGTAACAGCCTTGATCTTTGTCTCCTCTATGGCTTGAGTGAAGATCTCGGTCTTCTCCTCGATGTCAACCTTGAGGAACTCCACCTCATGCAGAAGGGCCTTCTTATTCTCCTTAAGGCCTTCCACCTTTGCTCTGAGGGTGTCCATCTCGCCCCTCAGCACCCCCCTCTCACATGCCATCTCTGCCTTGAGGGCGTCCATCTCGCCCCTCTGCACGTCCCTTTCACGTGCCAGCTCTTCCTTCTCCGCAATCAGTGTCGTGATGACGTTCTTCTGGGCCACAACGTCGCTCTCCAGCCGGTGGATTTGGCCGCGAGATGCCCTCAGATCGGCATGGGCTGTGCAGGATGACTCCTTGGCAGTCAGAGCCCGCTTCAGGTTCCTCTTGGACTGAAGAGTCAGGGCATGCACGGCGGAGTTCGCCTAACCAAAAAGGTTGGTTAGCACTGAAGAGACGTATACATAAAAAAAAGAGGGGAGAAGAAAAAGAGAAGGGAGAGAACTTACCACTATTGTGTGGGTGGCAGCTCGGGCTTCGAGCTGAGCAGGAGTGAGGTCGGCCTAGATCGAGACTTCCTCGGCATAGACAGCCCCCTTGCTCTTCTGAAGGCTACACTGAGGGACCAAGATGCTTCGGGCTCCATTTTGGCACCCCAAGCTAGAAACCGCCGTCTCGACTGTGCGGATAGGCTCGGCGGAGGATTCAGCTGCTGCGTCAGCAGCCCCGGTGACGACCTTAGGCTCAGCAGCTGCCTTCGTAGCAGGCTCAGCCGTCGTCTCGGGCTCCCTAGGTGGTAGGGACTCCTCCAAGTCAATGATCAGAGGAGCATCGGGGAGCTCGGGCTCAGAAGAAGGAGCCGGCGGGAGCTTGGGCTCGGGAGTGGGGGCCGGTGGGGACTCAACGCGTGCTCTCTTAGCAGCCCGCTTCTTCCTCCCCTTCATGTGGTTGAAGAGCTTATCCCCCTTGAGTTTCTCCGCTTCCATGGGACCTACAATAGAGCTCGGAATTAGTAAACTCAAAAATAAAAGGGAGAAGGTGCAAGCCAAGTGACTAAGGTACTAAGACTACCTACCCGAGCTCAAACTGGCCTGAATGAGTTTGCTCTTGGCGATATAATCCTTGTAACTAAACCCGAGCTCAGCCCACGACTGGAGCGTCTCCCTCCATTGAGTAGGGAAGGGCCACCTCGCGGGGTTCCGGGCTACGAAATAGTCCTGCTTCCAAGCCGGGATCTTGCTAGGAAGCTTGTGCAGCAACTTGAAGCCCGGGCGAGGGGACAAGTACTAGGCCCTCCTGTGCTCGGGGAGAACGCATGAAGTGCTCTTCTTTATTGTGAGAATGGAACAGAAGATGTCTAGGTTCAGGGGGGGACGTACTCATAACAAAGGGAGATGGTCTCGACCACGTTACGGATCCTCCCTTGACTAAGAGTGAAGTGACTAATCCTCCCTTGACTCATTTGAAGGAGGAAGAGACTTAGCAAAAGACTCAACTAGGACAAGAAAGAGGAAGAGCAAACACCTGTGACAAATCCTCCCCCTTTGGACAATATCTCTCCAAAAAAGAACCATAAAAGGGAGAAAGTTCATCAAATGTGACATCCATTGAGACATACCAAGTGCTAGTCTTTGGATCAAAACAACAGTAACCCTTTTGTGTGGGGGAATATAACCAAGGAAGATACACTTGTGGGCTTTTGGTTCAAATTTATGTCTTTGGACACTTGGGACACTTGTGGAGGAATAACCAAGGAAGACATACCAAAAGTCTCCACGCATGACCTGCAACCACCCACCACGCTCTTTTACTTTTGTTTTTTTTCTTAACTTTGGCTTTACGTGTGACTGTGTAAGTGTGTTTTTCTTTTCTTTTTTATTTTACAAAAATCCAAGTGGCTATTTTATTAAATGAATTACACCTTTTAGTAATCTGGTGAGCAGACATTACAGTCAGTCACTGATCTGAAATCAAAATTCAAGCATCTATTTTGCTTTGGTATGTGCCACCGTCCACCGGAATTTTTTATAAGGTGAAAAATCTATGATGCCGAAAATATGTGATATTGAAAGTGTTTTGACCGGATAAACAACACCTGACCGGCTATCACGTTTATGATGCCAGTTGATTGGTAAAAAAAAAACGAGACTTGAATAATTGGAAATGGGAAAATAAAATGATAGTGCTAAATGAAAAACATTTGTACAGCTAATCTTTATAACCTTGCATTGGAATATCTCTATATTTATGTGGAGTTCGGCTTCAGTTAGGACAATGCTTGTTCAAACAGTCTTTACAGACTTGCATTGAGAATATCTCCTATTTATGTTCTTTAGTTCATGGAGAGATTTCAATGCAAGGTTGCAAAAGACAGTTGGAATGGTGTGGATACAGGTTTGCCCTGATGGAAGTAAATTGATCTCACTTACGCGCTTTATTTCATGTGGAGATATTCCCAATGCAAAATTACAATAAGCTGTATGAACGGTGTGAGCACCATCTTGCTCTGACTGAAGCTGAACTCCAAGTAGTTATCCACTTAATTAAATGAGAAACTAGAAAAAAAGTAAGAAAAGGTCATAAATAGTTGAAGGAATGGATAGGCCACGTTCATATGTTTTGTCCAATGTTTTAAAAATCGATCCGGCGGTTCTACCACCCAGTCGGAACATAGGTTTTGTGGGCGTGAGGGGGATCTGACCAGCGTGAAGATATTAATAGGTAAAAAGAATTGCTCCTAGTTAATACCATTTAATTTTAAACACCGAGGGACTGCTAATTTGTAGGTTGAGGTTGGCTGCCTTGCATTGTCTATAAGACTATAACCAATAGACATGAGGGAGAAATTGTTTCAACTAAAAAACAAAACAGGGGGCAGAGCTAGGGCGGCACCCGGATCCAATCGCCTCAATATACGTAGATTCAAGTTTGAATGCTTATATTTTGAATTCAAATCGGATTTTATACATTTTGGATTTGTATCAGATTCGAATTGAATTCACATTGCAATTGGATATATTGAATGGTATAAATAAATTACGCTAAAAATCATCAAAAATATTATATATTATTATTAAATAAATGAATTTAAAAAATGTTATTGCATTATTGCACAACCCAACTGATGATACAAACTATGGTTGACTTTCAATTTGTACGACAACCTAACTGTGGTTCAGAGGTGAGACAAATCGGCACATCCAAACTTACAGAAAACTTGCTGCAAATTCAGTCTTAGAGTTCCATTACAAGTTTACAACTGCTCCTTCCTTTCCTCTTTGTAGTTGTTAGAAACTCCTAAGTGCGCCATGAATGACCCGTGCTCGTTGTGCAACCTTGTCTTCCAATGCTGGGCTTGCATTGGAGGGCCTGACCGTTCAACCTATGTCTGTAACTTGGAACAAAATCGCACATCTCTGAGTGATCGGTTGGAGAAATTGAAAGCTTTACGAAATGATGTGGAGAGAAAAGTGGACAAAGCAGAGAGGAGCGGAATGACACGAACAGATCAAGTGGATCACTGGCTACAACGTGTACAAGAAAAAGAAGGGGAAGCCCAGAAAATCCTTGATCAGTGTTCTCAACGGATTGCTAAGGATTGTCACTGTCTTGGAGATTACTGTCCCAAAAACTGCTGCACTAGCTATAAGCTCGGTAAGCAAGTGGCTTTATTGCTTCCAAATGTGGGGGAATTAATCAACGAAGGCAACGATTTCAAATCCAGTGAAGTGGCTTATAGGCGGATGACACAACCTGGAGAAGAAGTTCCTCTACCAGCAACAATTAAAGGCATGGATTTAATGTTGGAGAAGGTGCGTAGTTGCATCAGAGAAAATCAAGCTGCTGGAACTATTGGGCTATACGGTACAGGGGGAGTTGGGAAGACAACCCTTCTAAAAAAAATCAACAACGAGTTTCTCGTCAAAACAGCAGACAACAGTGATTTTGATGCTGTGATCTGGGCTGTTGTGTCCAAGGAATTAAACACAGCACAGATTCGGAAGCAAATTGGCGATCAATTGGGGATTACACGAAAAGAAGATGCAAACCAGGTTGCAGAGGCTACCGACATTTTCAGGTTGTTGAACCGTCAAAAAAAGTTTTTGCTCCTCTTGGATGACGTATGGGAACGAGTTGATCTAGAGGAAATTGGAATTCCTCACCCCAGTACTGTCACTGAATCAAACAACAAGTCAAAGGTGATATTCACAACTAGATCTGAAAAGGTGTGTGGAGAAATGGAGGCTAAAAAAATTTTCAAAGTTGAATGCTTGCGGGATGATGAAGCATGGAACCTATTTGAAGAGAAGGTAGGAGAGGACACCCTGAATTGTGATCCAGACATACGTCAGCTAGCCAGG